TGAGTATACCGATCAAAGGAACAGTCTTTGATCGTTTATAAAAAAAAAATAATAATAATAAATAAAAGGAGGAAGATAAACATTTGTACGGCTGTTCTAATCTTGTTATTTTTTCCCGTCCTGCAAAAAGACTCGACATTTATGATATTAATTTTTAGCGAGGCAGGCTTTGTTGGAACTACGTATTAACGTGGCGAACAATCGCGAGGGTTTCAGCTGGATTCACATTCGTTTCGAAAAAATTCAGCCTAAACCGGCTTAAAATTTTGATGCATCATTTCGGCTCGAGCTTTTCCACCGGAAGCTTTGAATTTTTTAGTATGAACCGTATTGACTCGTCGGAAACCCGAACAATAACGTCTCGCAAAACACAAAAACAAGAAAATAAAATGAACAAATTGAAAATGGTCTTATATGGTAATCCTGATTACGAGTCGAACCAGTGCAATTGATAATTTTTTTTTAAAAATCATATAAAATATTAACATGTTGTCAAAATATACTCTGCAACATGAGTTTTTAAAAAAATTATATGCAGTTTATTACCAAATTCTATTGAAAGCTTGATATAAGCAGAAATTTGCCATAGCAAAAGCAGTCACGTGATCATTAACAGATAACAATCGGTTTCCATAAGCCAAACTGCGGCTTCTGCCTGCTCATATTCATCGTGATCGTCGAAATCGATTTAATTTTACGAAAACTATTGCACCCGTATCAAAATATTCTATGTTACGTCAATCACGAAATTGCACATTGAGTATTCAATCACGATAATGTGCATAATAATCTTTGCTCGAGAAAGTCGTTCAAAATGATATGCGCTCGGTATGTGCGTGAGTGTGTGCAGTGTAAAAACTAGTCGATCCGGGCGCGTCGACTGCACACATCGCAATTTTCGCCACGCCGCTCCGGTGTAACGTGTGTGAATAATAGCTGCGCGATGTAGAGGCATTATCGATTTTAATCGCTGTAAAATAAAAAGAAAAAAAAAGGTCAACTCGCGGAACGATTATTAAAAGGAGAAGACGGGGCGAGGAAAAACGATTTTTTACTTTGCAGCTTTTCAATATGCATATGGGCGCGCGAGCGAGTATATATATATGTGCAGTACTTGCAGATGATGGTCTTTTGTCTGGCAAGTTGAAGTCTGCTGCAGTGCAAGCCGCGTGTCTGTACATAGACGTTGTGTATTCCCTATAGTCAACTTTTAGCCCTCGCCTGCTGCCTCTCAGCCGTACACACACACACACACACACACACACGCGCGCGCGCGTCAATGACATCGCTGCTGCTGCCGTAGTACGCGGCACGAAAAGGAGCGCGAGAAAGTTGAGGGCTGCGAACACGTAGTATACGCGACGAGGAGCGAGAGGCGAGAGCTGACTGGAAAAGCAAACGCGCGCGCGAGATGAGAAATACACTCTCGTACATAGCGCGAATGTAAGGTTGAGCCACGCGAGCATCATCTGTGCGTTTGTTTCAGTTCGCGAGTCTGCAGCGAGAGAAAGAGATATTAGAGCAGAGATATCGTGACTATTGCAATCAGCGCGCGGCGACAAACTCGAGGCGCGCGTAGATAAACGCGTGCACGTATGGGCCAGGCTCGCGCGCATTCGGCATTATTAAGAAAGAAAAAATATGCATCTAGGCCGGTACGCAATAAAGGACCTTTTTTACGCGCGTCCATGAAGTACGCAGCAGCTTTTCCGGTCGGGGGAGCGCCGGCAATCAAACGAAGAGCGAGGAGCGTGCCGTCGCGTGACTGCCAATCACCAATGGCTCTGCTGCAGAGAGCTTCTGGACTCGAGCGATAGATTGTTTTTTTCCCTCCCTCTCTGTGGATACTCCTTGGGGAACATGTGGCAGTCACGGCTCGGTGAAGCGCCATTCCGCATACAAGTATTGTGTCCTCCGCTAGCGCAAATTAGCTCGAAATATCCTTCGTGCGAATTGCACCGGATGCAAAAACAGTATCCGGAGACGCGCGAGATATTAATTTGTGCTCTTATTCAGATTACGGCTCCTCGTCGAGCTCTCTTTCTCACTCTTAACGATCATCCTCAATGGTCTTTCTGTCAGCTCTGTGCGCGTTTATTTATTTATTTTTTTTTTACCCTCCCGCGCTCCAAATTGCATACAATTTTTTAAATGGCTGAAGCGCGTCGCGGCGCAGGCTCGTTATCGAGAACGAGTACGGCGTTTCTTCCGCGTTGGGCGCTTCGCTTTCCTTTTTTTTTTTACCCTCTTTCTTTTTTTATGAAAATGAATAGCCTCGTCGCGGTGCAACAAATGGAGGAAAAAAAAAAAAAAAAAAAAAAAGAGAGAGAAAAAAAGAGTGAGCGAAGAAGAACGAAAGCTGCGGCGCGCGCGACGGCACGAGAAGAAAAGTGGGAATCTGAAAATTCATTCTATCGAAAATTTGGGTCAAAGCGCATTAAGCGATTTCACATATTAAAATCCATTCTTGAAATAATCCCTCTTCCCGACCACCCACACACTGCAGCTAGCTCACTGCACTCGCACACGTCATGTATACGCGCACGTGCGAGTACGATGCGGAGAGCAGAGGGAAAAAAATTCGCGCGCGCGTCGAGCTATTAAGAGTACAGTATCGAAGAGTCTCGGTGAATTGTACGTGGAAAGGAGGGAACGAGCGAGCAAGAGAGAGAGAGAGAGAGAGAAAGAAAGAGAGAAAGAGCAGCTAGCTATAGCTGCACGCACACGGAAAAGCCATTTTCTCGTCGATAAATCCGTGACACTTTTTTCCCCGCATTGACTCCCAGCCCCGCGATCTGTATTAGGTATATGACGGTGGTCGTGTGGAAGTGTGTAAACGTCGGCTGCTGGCCTCTCTTGAGTCCATAACACGAAGAAAAGAGAAAAGAGAATCAATCGCGCGAGCCATCGATCTTGGCCGGCGACGTATAGAGGTAAGGTTTCTATAGGTAGCGGAGCACGTGGCCAAGGGAAGCTGCGGGGCTGCTAAACTGGAGCAAATTCGTTGGCCGATACGGGCCGTGCCTCTACAGGCGCTGCGAAATCGATCTCGTTACGCGTTCTGTCATTTTTCTTTCGATCGTAGGGTTTCGCGATGGAACAACAAACGCAGCTCAACGGTCTCGAAACACGAAGCAGGATTAGATTTTGCGCGAGGAGCGCTATTGCTTCGTTACGTATTCACTATCTCGATGCGGCGCGGGAGGGCTACGTACCGTAAGCGTTACGAAGATGTCGCTGGCGATGAATGCTGGTTGAGTCGCGATCGCGACGGAAAAAGAGGCGCTTCCTAGAGGCAATTCCTTGGAAAACTGCGAACGCGAATCCCGCCGATAGGATGGAAGAGTTGAAAATTCAGTTGGAAGTTGCGTTTGCCGCGAGCTCATGGTCCATACGGGACTCGATCGCGCGTATACGACTTCCTCGAGCGTTTGCGCGCTGTTATTGAACGGCGCGATCCAAGAAGATCGCGGAGTTTTCGTGCGTCTGTTATCCATCGGTCGCTGCTGGCGAATACATATAACTATACGCTGATTTCATTATACAAGGTATACACGGGGTGATCCTCATATAGGATCGTGTACAACGAGGCGCGACGAGCGGCGCCATCTGCTAGGCCTCGGGTGCAAGCTCGCGAGCGACGCGATGCATATAGGTATCGTGCGCTTGCATGTGTGTGTTATACGACGCGTCGCGTATACATAGCCGTCGCTCCATCTCTCTTTCTCTCGCGAGAGCCCATGCATCATGCCGCTGAGTATATCTGTGACCGGGAGCGACTGCCAGAGCGAGAGGGATGTACACCCTTTTGGCTGCGGGGCTATACCTATATATTTGAACGTGGGCGACCTCTGTATACTGTGCTACTGCTGCTGCCACCGTTCGCCACGTTTTCTCTCTCTCTCTCGCGCACTCTCGTTGCCCACACAGATGCTCGAGGCTGGAACGAGCTGCTGCTGCGCGCCTGCCAGTGTAGCAGTCGACGACGGTAGCAAAAAAGGCGCTCGCGCGCCTCTGCGATCCAGCATCTCTATACGTGCAACCGTATACCTATCCTCGTCTCTCTCTTTTTTTCCATCTCTCTTTCTTTTTCTCTCGCTCGGTCTCGTTGGCACGCGATCCCCTCAGAGCACATTTCGATTTTTTGTTCGTCATCCGATTGTCAACGCGAGTGGTATAATTCATAAATAGCGCGGATCGAGCGAGTCGAGTCGAATCGGAGTCTGGCGCGCGCCACTAGCGCACCGCTCGCTCGCTCGCAATAATTGACCGAGATCCTGCGGCCGTCCGAACGCTCGCTGAGTCGTTTCCCTCGCGACTGCCTATCTACCCGCTACTACCACTGCTATACCAGCAGTACTAGAAGACATTTCGAGCCGTGCGCGCCGTCGCGTGCTGCAGCCGCAGCCGCCGACGCGCATCTATATACGTTCTCTATATCCCACTGGGTACGTATACCGTTATATACTAGCTAGTAGGTAGGTAGGTAGGTAGGTACTGGTGCTGGTAGAGTCAGTAGGCTAGAGCGCGGAGCGAAGCGGCGCGCGCGCGCAAGCGACAAATTAGTACCTCATAGCCCGCGCTCTCGAGTCTCGAGTCGGTGTGCGCGAGTGTTGCAGCAAAGCGACTGGTCCATGCGCGCCTGCCTGCCTGCCTCGGCTATTGCGCTCTTCTATCGCCAGCCAGTCTGCCTGCGCCAGCTGACGACGGAGCCTTTATATACTCTCGTACACGTTAACCCAGTGTGTGATCTCTCTCTCTCTCTCTCGCTATTTGTCGCTCCTCGTCGCGCGCGCCTCTGGCCCCGATGACCGACGACGGAACGAGAACAAGACGAAGAAGAAGCGATCTCGACTTCGACTCCTAGTGCTTGCACCGACGATTCTACAGCGTCTACTTGAAAATACTCCAGCTTGGCCTCTCTTCGTCTTCCTGCCTCCTTTACTTTTTTCCTTTCTTTTATTTTTCTCGTCCCCCCTTCACCCCTCCCCCCCCCCCTTTTTAACCCCCTTCCCCTTCCCTTTCTCCTTGTTTTTTTGGACCCGCGCTTGATTCGTAAACGACCATGTGTCAAGAACAAACCACCAAACGTATGAGTGACAATAACAACAACAGCAACAACGAAGACGACGACGATGGAGAAAATTTCAGTGGTGCATACCACTGCTGCTGCTGCTGCTGCTGCTGCTGCTGTTGCAGCAATCGCGTATCCTGCCACTCGTGCCGTTGCTGCCGCTGCTGCTGCTACTCCACGAGCGATTGCTACCATGAGTTGCTCATCGATCTCGAGAATAATCGCCAACGCCTTCAGCTGATCACTGGTGAGTCGCACGATCATCAGTTTATTAAAGATGTATTATTCGAAGACGCAAATTATAATCGGCTTTTTCGTGCTCGTTGCAAAAACAACTCGCCCGATACTATAACGCTCACGACAGAAAACCGCACACGTATAACGGTCGCGCACTCGAGACTCGAGATGAAACGAGGTCAGTTCTCTGTGCGTGTATGGCCTATTGACTCCGAATTTCAATCAATTATATACCTGAGCTACAATATAGGCACTTGTTTTATTTTAAAAAAAAGCACACTAATTTGCACCCTCGCGCTCTTTCGATTATTTTCTGTGTGTACTTGGACTATAACGAATTTCAACGACAGGTATACGTGCGGATTCGAATTTTCGCAATGATCCAATCTCTCTCTCTCTCTTTTCCGCCGTTTTCCACTCCACGTCGAGCAGCTCCTGAACAGCAGCATCGCAGTTCGACTTGTTAACGCATCGATAGACTCGCTCGGTTTAATGACATCTCGCGATGCATCGGCAAAAATCAAAAGTCACGAAATACACACAGAGCGAGAGAGATACAAAGCTCCCCCACCTACCGTCGAGTTTCATCAATTATATTTATGTGTACATAAAATCCAATTAGTCAATTATCGGACGATCGAGTAGTAATAAGTTGCGCGTGAATATATGCGGAACGAGGCACTTTTTTCCATGAAGGGGATTTTCTCATTTATATTGAGATTCATCGGGCAGTAAACCTACCCTCTATCCTTTGAACTTCCAAAAATATATATTAATAATAATAATAATAATGATAACAGCTTCCCTGACATATTGAAAACTCCTCGGTATCGTCATGTTTCGATCGATTGATTTCGTTCACGCAACGGACCTTTCCGCGCGCATACACGCACGCATTCCAACGGCTAAATGAAATATGGAGGGGGCGGGGAAGGAGGGGGTTAAAAGAGGAGCTGCCGAGCGTAACATGTATACAACACGTATACGTGCGTACATATTGTGCTTCGTGTATTTCGTATTAGTGCGTGTGCTACGACGAGTAATGCAGTCGACGGCACGAAGCTGTGATTGCCTTCGATTATTACCATAGGTATAGCTTCTCGCAATCAATGAGCGAACGTGATCTCTGCACTGAACCCAGTGTTGTCAGGTTTTTTTTTGTCGTTGGTCTTGCAGAATGTTTACTTTTATTTCGATTTATTTACATTTTACTTTCTTTTCATTTTTATCATTTTTTCGACGCTATCACTGTGTGTGCGCGCGTGTCGTGTACTGATTTTCTCGGGGGGAAAGAAGAAAAAGCAGAAAAAAAATCTTACACCAAACTTTGCGGTTATTTTCTTGTTCTTTATATTTCCCCTCGATTCAAAATATACCTCGGAGCTTTCCACTTGGCAATGCACTTTTTCTTCAAGCCGGATCATCTTCTCTTTCTCTCTCTCTCTCTCACTCTCGGAATCGGAGCATAAAAATAAACTGTTCGCACTCGTGTGCGTTTCGTGCTGTACACTTATATACATATAGATATGTATATCAAATCCAACAATAAATATCGATCGCTCGGAAACTGTTTTGCTCTCCAACATGTTTACTACTACTGAAAAATTAATAAAACGTGCTCGAGAGCGTGTAATATAAACAAAAGAAGAGTAAGAAAAAAAAAGAGGAAGAAGAAAGTGTCCAAGTTACGCGGGTACACGACGTCGAAGAAAATATAAAGTATATATACGCGGGGTAATAATAATTTTATTGCGCAGTGCTGCTACGAGATGCTGCCGACTGGTTATCAGAGACGTCGTCGTCACCAGGCCTCGGGGCCATCGTCGCTGCTGCTAGTAGCGGAATCGTCAGCTGCGGAAAAGAGCTTAATACTAGCCAGGGTCGTCCACAGGCGGCAGGCCGCCCTCGTCAGCCGGCCTTGATCCAGATCTGTTGACTGGCGCCGCCCGCGCCACTCCAGAGCGTCGTCGACGACGGCTGATCGTTCAGCGGTCGATTGTACATACTACATGTAATATAAGTAAAGAGGCCGAAGACAGCCATGCCGACGACAACGACGAGGAGGCCCGCGACGCCAGGCCCGATCGCTGCCGTACTCGTGCTGCTCGTCTTCTTGACGGCCAACACTTCGAATCGAGCCTCTTGGTAAGTCATACGTCTGTATACTGCCAACTATAAAGTAAAAAAGAAAAATCGGCCACGCGAGGGCCGAATAAAAATTGTATTTTACGTTGCTGCGATGCGGTAAAATCGAGGACTCGAAATGGTTCCTCTGGTCTCGTGTGCAGGAAATTGCGAATCGGTTGTAGAACTCCCCGTAAACCATCGAATTCGCCGCCGAGATTAATACATAAAGCGCGTATGTGTACGTATACGACACGCTGCTGGCCGCTGACGCGAGCTCGCGCGCATCGCTGCGCACGTATCGGGCGTATCATCCGTGCCGGACTTTATGGGCGCGCATATATGTATCTCCAAAACTATATAATACATCCCCGCATTTGCAACTATTTACATATTATTACATCGTCGGTGCACGACTGCGCGCGAGCTCGCGTCAACTTTTTGCCCGTGTTGACTTTCTGTTTTGATTTCCTCGGGCGCAGTGTGCAGCAAATATATCACGAGTTTCGCCGTATAATAATGTATATACGTCGAGCCAGTAAAATTATATTCAACTCGTTGACGTGCTTATATATATACACTATACTACTGTAGGTATACTCGCGTGCACCCGCGCCCCAATAGGGCGCTAAAAACAGCCATCAATTATCGAGATCGATTAATTTACTCCCGGCACGTTGAACTCGATAATTTGCCGGCTATCGCAATTACAAGCTGTAACTCGCGCAGACCAACTACTACTACCACTACTACTACTACTACTACTATTACACGTATATCTACGCGAAGAGGAGAAAAAAATTACTTACCCCAAAGCGGAGCAAATTGTCGCTCGCGATTTTCTCTCTCCCTCGCATTGTATCAACTCGAAGCTAAGACGCATTTTAAAATTCATTATAATAGAATATGCTCTTAATAAGAGATGTCTGTGGAAATTTGAATAATAAGTGGACATATGTTTCTGCGTTGACTTGTTGGCTTGGAGCAGCAGCTATTTTCACAGCGGCTCGACGGAGGTGTCGGACAGACTCGCGAACGTGACGCAAACGATTTCGAGGATCCTCGACGGCTACGACATTCGGCTGAGGCCGAATTTTGGCGGTGAGTCATTTTACTTTTTGCTATATAATCATGCTATATCTTTTATTTTCCTCACCACCACTCTGTCGTGATTTTTCATGAAGAACGCGAAAGTTGCATTATGCTCTTTACCATCTGTACTCTATCTGCGGAGCTTTTCTCGATGCGCGTACAAAGCGAGCGAGCAGTGCAGCAGAGCACACATCATATAGCAACAGCGGCCTATACATGTAATAAACTCGAGTCGTCGATAATCGAATCAATGAGGCTATTACGTCGCTGCTGCAAACATTTCGTATTATCGGTTCGAGTCTCTCTCTCGGCTCGACTCGGCTCGCGTGGGCTCGTGCATCTTACGAGTAAATATAGTACACGAGTATCACCGAGCGAGCCTGTCGATACTATTTTTATATTCCGCCTATGATATGTATATCTCGCCCAACTTGTCGTGTGGTGGAGCGATGCCGTGTATATTGGCTCGCCGCGATCTTTGCGGAATTGATAATGTATTTTATCGAGAGAATCAAAGCGAGCGACGATTAGGAGCTGTGTGTGTGTGTGTGTGTGTGTATGTGCATCGACGCGAGTTTCCAATTTTCGGCCAAGGCGATGAATCGACGCGCGCTATAATGATTATGTAATTCGGATACAGTCAATCGGCCGAAAAGCTTTTTACGCGCGATCAGGGTGCCCAAGAGCGATCGTCATTAAATATAGAGCGGCGAGATTATATAGAACCACACACGAATTAGCGGCTGCGGAAAACGGAAAACGGAAAACCTTCGTTTTTTCCCCCTTCCAAGCTCGCACAGCGCGAAGAGGGCGATTTTTTAATAGGATATTCAAATAGTCGACGCGGCGTGGCGGTGGTGGTCGAGTAGAACTCGGCCGCTAGCTCCGCTGCTACGATCATTTGCGCTTTTATAATTGGAACGAGCCAAGCCGACTGATGAATACATGCATACGTTTACCATCGAGGTATTAAGTGGACGTTGATAGTCCACGGCATCCGTTTTATACGCTCACACAAACACACATACACACACACTCACTCACTCACTCACTAGGCTTTAGACGTTTTTAATATTTCGACCGGTGCAGTACAGACACGGAGTAAAGGAGAGAGGAGTATACGTGAAGGAGGAGGAATAAAATTCAACTCTCTATTCAGAGATGTATACAATGCTTTGCGCAGCCAGCCGTAAATACGGATGTCGAGTTGCTGCTGCAGCTGCTGTTACTGTATCTCGGGGATTTTTATATGCCTTGGCTTTACCTAACCGAGCAAACGTACACAGTACGACTTTTACTTTTTTAAGGGTCAGGAGGAAGAGAAAATTTTCCACGGGAGTTGATGATTTTGCGCGCGGAATGAGTATCGATTTTGCTTCTGGTAAAATGTTTCCAATTTTAATTTAAAAAAAAATATTATATAGTGCATTAGGATGATGAAAAAGAAAAAAATGTGAGATAGCTTATTCGAAATTCATGCTGTTTATAGGTGAACCTTTGTTCGTCGAAATGGATCTGACGATAGCGAGTTTCGATGCCATCTCCGAAGTTAATATGGTAAGTTTATTTCGCAATTTTTGTAAATATTTTATTGCGCTACATCTCTCTCAAACTTGAGCGAAAAAAGTACAATTTCAAACCCCCTTTAAATTTTAAGCAGATTTTATGTAAAGTCGAAATTACGACGACCAATACTGAATTTTATTTAAGGTATTTTTTTTACATGAAATCTTTGCAGACAATTCATGCATCAAGATTGATTAATTTTTTTACATAAACTGCTCGAAAAATGTAGAAAAATACAATTTTGCGCATCCATTATTTTTAATGCAAAAGTGAACCAAAAATATTTAATTTTACACTCGAGTTTAAACATTTTTATTGCAAAGTAATATCTCAATACTGATTTAGCTTTTGCGTTAATTGTATAAAAAAAGTCATAAAAACTAAATCATATTTACTCCCAGCAGTCACCACTACATGGCGAGTATCTTTATATTGACAAATCTGCAAACGGCTATTAAAGCGTAGCTTAGAAAACTTTATTGCGTTAAGAAACATTACATGATTTTTATACGATTTATAAAAAAACTTCAAATTTAATCTGAATCTCATTAATTTTATCGTTCTCACATGAAATCGAGTTATTTTACGTGAAGAAAAAATTCTTCCTTTACTTTTACATTAATTAAAATGTAAATACTTTCAATAGTACAGTCAATTATTGTACTTTTCAAAAAAAGAAGCACGTCGCTCTCGTTGAGCTAAAATTATTCAAAGCAATGAAATTATTAAGAGAATATTAAGGAAATGTACACAGAGCAAAAACGAAACATTACTATACTCCCGATCGAGGTTGTTCAAATTCCCTCGTCACCTCGCCATAACCATCGAGGGCTCTCGAGTACAATACTCTTTCGGCCCCTTTCAACGAATCGTTTTATTCTTTTCGAGTGGAAGGAGACTCGGAATAAAAAAAAAACAAAAAAAAAATAAACATCGTGCCTCTTTTCCCCGGATAATCGTGTACGTTTTAAAAGCTCGCCTAGCGGTACATATAAGTTTTGCCGAACGGCACAGAGAAAGTACGTACAAAGCAAAAACGCTGCAAATGGTTGAAGATTTGTTATATACAAACACACACACACACACGCGTGCATATAGGCGAAACGGCATTTCCGGCGGGTAAATTTCGAATTCATATGCGCCTATACATCCTATAAAGCTCGGCTAGCTACTGCACGGATAAATGCGCCTAGAGTGTATAATATAATTCTGCTTGGTAAGCGTGCCGGGGGGATAAAAGTTCCCGCAATTTCCGTATGGTGTAGGAAAAAATAAAAGAAGGCAAGGAAATTCGATGCGAATGTGCGCAAAGCGAAGTACGCAAAAAAAAAATACCGGGCTACGCGTGAGCCAAAGTTCGTTGTTTTTTTTCCTCATTTTTTTCCATTTTTTACTCACCTTTTTTTTGTTGTCTCGCGAAGTGCCATTAAATCCGATAATTGAGATTCGTGGTGCAAAATCGACTTTCGTGCAGTCGGCGGCTGCAGAGGCAGAGGCAGAAGTAGTAAATAGCAGTGGCAGCGTACATATCCACTTGGACATGAAATCGTTTTCGACCCACTTTCTCCATTGGCCGTGAATTCGTATAACTCGCTTTATTAAAAGGCGGGCCAGCAGCAGCAGGCGCATTGCTTGCAGTGCTATATGGTTGGCTGCGATACATATATCTATATCTTCTATATGGAAGCTCCTCTCGCTCTCGACGACTACGCTCGCGTGGCTTCATTTATATAGTATAAGGCAAAGGTGAAAATCAAATAATTTGCTCGCTCGGTCTGTCAATTTGATCCGACGAATGCATATTTTGCCCGAGCCTCGATCTATGTGTGCGTAATTTATTCTTATATTACACGCGTCTTTGTAAAATTGGCCGTGCTAGTTTGTATGTACGCAAGCACAGCGATAAGAAAAAAGCATGCGCGCGCGAATGCATAATTCATGAATTCGTGGCGCGTCAAGCTGTCGTAGCAGCGATCGTAACGATGTTTTCAATTTTGCTCTCTCTCTCTCTCTCGCGCTCGCGCTCGCACTCGACTAATTGTGTTTCTCAGCCGCGAGTCGCGTGCTATTCTCATGACTCGTTCGTCGCGCGCAGTTAAATTTCTCATGCAAAATCATCGTTTATGCTCGGTAAAATATTGCTAAGCTATATCCACATCGTGCATACATAAGCAAACTGTGATAGCCAACAGATTCGGTGCGATCTTCCATAATATGCTTTATCGCTCGGGTTCTGTACGTATAGTTTGGCACGAGATCAATCAATAAGATGGCAAAAACTCGAGTTTCCACACACGGTACTACGTCGCATTATTACTCGTTTATGCTATACCGTTTATTTATCGAGCACACCTAATATTACCAAGAGCCTCGAGGCGTAGTCGGTCGGCATTGTACACACACATACTCTTACACACGTACACATCGGTTTCGGTTGCGATAATAAAGCTTCGTGTGGCTGCTTTCGATTCACTGAGTTTAGGGCCGTGCCTTGGAAGAAATTGCAAGATAAGAGCCCCCGCCACTGCCGCGCTTTGCGTCAGACGATTTCGACGAGACGTTCATCGACTTCGAAATATTTCATCTGTCGTGTCAGGCACGCAATAATACGTAACATCTGATCGATGCGCCAGCCTTATCTAAGGTTTTTCGTGTGCACATCATCGAATCGTTTATATCGTGTGTATACCCCAAAATGACAAGCTCATCAGTCGTGCAAAGGGACGCCACGGGAGTAGCTTCGTGAAAACGACGCACCGCAAGACCTTATATGCAATATCACTTGGGAATTCTGAATGTCCAAAAGTTTGCGACAAGACGTCGCTGAACTCTTACCGAGTTTGGGATGCGCTGGTCTATTAGCTTATGCGAGCGAGCTACATATAGCGTTATAACGTAACGAAGCTATCCCTTTGTGACAGTCAACTTTTGAATTATGTACCGAAAAAGGAGACTCGTGCGACTGAATAAGTCATACACAAGCAGAAGTGATATAAAAAGTATTTATTCATTCTGTGTGGTTTATCCTGTCAGGACTACACGATCACGATGTACCTCAATCAATACTGGACGGACGAGAGGCTGTCGTTTTCGCACGAGAAGGACGTGCTCACCCTGAGTGGTGACTTTGCCGAGAAGATATGGGTGCCGGACACCTTTTTCGCCAACGACAAGCACAGGTAAGATTGAATTCATACTATTATATACTGTATATTATATATTATATACGATGTACATACTCGATCGTGTACATCGTCGAATGAATAAGAAAATCGTTGCGACATTACAAGCTCAAATGATTCGCAAAGAAAAAAGGGGAAGGAGAAAAAAAATAGAAAAACGATTTTTTCGATGGGCAACGACGCGATTTCAGCTCGTTATGCACGCGTCGTTTCGCTCGGATGCCGGGTATATTACGCCTATACAGCGAGTCGATCTTTCGTGTATTATTATATACAGATGTGTGTACATCGCAAGTTGGGAGCTTTTTTCTTTCTCTACTTCTCCTTGTGTGCAGCCGCCATCTCCTTATTCGCCTCTCGCTCTCCTTCTCTCGACGCAAGCTTTCTTAAATCGAACGATCTATACATATAAGGAGTCGCGAGTTTCATCTTAACGGTTCACCTTGCCCTAGCTCTATAGCTGCAAGCACATGTATACAGCAACAGCGGTATATAGAGCAGCAGCAGCAGCAGCAGCAGCAGCAGCAGCAGCAGTCGAAAAGAATCAATTCGTTTTTTGCCCTCTTGAAGAAATTTCTTCGCTGCACTAAGGGAGGAAAAAATGTGGGATAAGCGGAGCTTATGTAAAACAGTTTGCTGCCTCGCTCTTTCTCTGTATATAGCGGGCTCACAGCCACATACACGTGCATGCGAGACGTAGTGTATTGTGTACCGTGTGTTTGCGGTCCGCATATATGTACGTGAATCCAACGCCAATATATGTGTGTGTGTGTGTGTACGTGTGTAGCAAATTTGCGCTCGCGCGAGCGCAGCTGCTGTGCGGCGGCTGCTCGCATATACACGCGCGCACGAGCGAGCGATGAGAATGTAAGTAAGTATTGCACGCGGAGAGGGTCCTCTCCCGGCACCCTGACCTCATTTTTTTTCTTCTCTCTCTCTCGATACGTATACCTGTATACAGCGACGTATACATATGACGACAAAACACTGGCAATATATTCAACACCAGCAGCGAGTTTAAATACGTGCACGAGTAAGGTTCAAATATATATAGACAGGGAGCAGCTCCATTTCCCGTCGATATATCTACACACGTATATATTGGAGCTAGGCTATGCTCTGCTGTATTGCTGCTGCTGCTGTGTATCCAGTGTGATGACTTTGTCTGCATGACAGGTTCCGCCTGTACAGCCAAAACTTGCGAGAGCAAATGTGTACACATACGTATAAGCCTTATCCGCGAGCGCTTGCACATACATGTACACGCCTACACGCATTTATTTTATTTCGCTCAATGGAATGTTTCTCGATCGAGCGCGCGTATTGTTATCTCCACGCGAATCTTCAGCTATTTTTTCGTTTGGTTTTTTTTTTATTTATTGATTTTTTTTGTTTGTTTGGCTTCGCGGTCGCTCGCTCGTATGATTTTTTAATTGGATATTCGTCGATGAGTGTCTTTCGCCACGTTCACCCACTACAGCTCGTCTAATTCCGAGGACCGTGATAGCTTTTCATTGTTTTTCTACGTTATGACGTTTGACGATTGTTTTCAACGATTGTTTTTGATTAAATGAAGAATTACGTTATCGATCGAAATCTGTGCTCTAGTAGAAAATCTCAAAATTAATTGTAGCTCAATGACCAAAATATGACCATTAAAATTTTTTTTAAATATATTACCATCAATCGGCTTCTTTTTGCCGATTTTTCTGTTCAAATTAAATGTTAGAATTATTCAGCACTGTTTAAAGGATCTAATTAAGTTACAATTTTATTTGTTCAATTATAAAATTCAGAGATGTTTTTAACCACTTTAATTACTATAATATAATTTCATGCCTCCACCGCTAGATGGCAAGTACCTCTATCTATAAATCTGCAAGTGGCAAAGTGAAAATAATTGTACAAGAAAGTCAGTTAAAAATATATTCATACATGTGAATCATTAACATGTGCTGTTTTATGTACATACGAGTTGACTCTTTCTAAAAATGACAATCTTCGAGTAACCTTTTTTCATTTTTAATATTCAAAGTTGTGCATGTGCATTTCTAACTGCACCAACAATTTTCTCGATAGTTGTTGTTTTTAACCACGTGATTTTTTTTTCTTAAGTATTAAAATTGTATAATAACGACAAAACCACAATAAAAAAATCTTGCAACTCATGAGAAACATTTGGGATCAACTTTCGCGTTTATTTACTAATGCAGATATCAGATCACGAATTTTTAAAAAAACTTTTGTAGATTTTCAATCTACGAGAAAAAATTACAAAAAAAAATTTTACCAAAATGTCCACGACAAAATTCAGAAAATCTAATTCCATTGATTCGCGTGTACTTTGACAAATGAATAAATAAATTTTGACCGGCAATTCGTCTTATTTGACACAATACGAAAGTGCAATTTGTCGCTCGAGAATCGACTTGCGGCTTGGTATCTTATATCTCGAATGTTCAGTCTGTGCATATACATCCTTATGATATACCTATACTTTAATGGTTTCATTTATCGAAGTCTCTTTGGCTCGAAAATCAATAATAGCAGGCTTTGCGTCGCGCGCGCGAGCAGAGTCCTGTCCTAGCTGGAAAAGTTTTACATCCGTCTACCGTGAATCTATAAATTCATTCGGCGGCCAAGCTGCATGAATTATCAACGAGCATCTTCTCAATCTGAGTTAGTAACTTTTGTGCTTTCACGCTCGATCAAGATATCGATATATGGGAAAAATCTCTGTTAATACATAACCAAGGAGCTTCCTTTTGCAAACATTATTATTATTTCTATGATTAAGGATGAATTCCAATAAAATAAATAATATGATAAATATTTAAGAGCAACATTTCAAAACATAATAAGAGAACGATATTTTACAACAAAAGTTTCACGACAAAAGTATTCTAAAACTTATAGCTTTTAAATATTTTGAAACTGGGAAAAATGGCGATGAACGGTTCCAATAAAAAAAACTTTTCCACATTCAGGCGCCCGAAAATGAATTTTTCGTGCCACTGCGCAAAGCATACCTTGTAGAAATCATTAGCATATACTGACCAGTTTATGCTTCAGTTAAGTCGAACTGGTCAGCTACTGCATAACTTCGCCATAAACCTTGCTAAAAACGAGATGGCAATAGCGCTCAGACTGGTCAAAAACTGCTTAATTTTGATGGTGTTTTTCGTCATTCAAATGGTTAAAAACTTCTCAAGTCCGTGTTCGGTCGTCAGCTTGCTGGGACCAATTATTTATATTCTACCTAATCTCTCTCACTTATACTTTTTTGTAAACATGCAGAAAATGTTCGAGATATTTTTGAGCATCTTGCACGAAAAATTTTATGCTTACTTAGTATTTTTCTTTATTAAAATTTCTGTAGAACTCAGATTTATCTTTTTAATAAAATTTTTGTTCATTTACTTGATTTGAAAGGAGACAATTCGTCTATATTAATAGTATATTACTGCCCTAGGGCGCGAAAAACAGAAAAGTCCCAGAGTACGTGTAATTAGTGGCCGAGGCGAAGCCGAGGCCGATAAACACGTGCTCTGGGGCTTTCTTTTTTCGCGGCATAGGCCTGTATACTATTTTTCATACATAGTGGCCAGAAAATAGCTCTTCTCGTTTTGCGCAGCGGCCGAGAAGTAGTCACTTTCTGGCCGCTGGTATGAAATAGTGATTTAAATAATTGAATTGCGTAAGTAGGAATAACGAGAGATTCAAGAAATTCGTATGTACGTGAATTCGCTGTCAATACCATCAGCAATACTGATGTCAATGAAGATTTCAATATTTTTTGACGTTTTTAAAAATGTTTTTGAAAATTTCCATTTTTTCATCAACGTTTCTAATGTTTGCTATTCTCTTATATTTCCGTTTTATACTCGTGATATAATTGTATCTTGTACGGGATATAACATTCTTTGTTTATGTTTACTATTTAACCTAAAAATTCGATTTTGCCTTGATCATTTTCAATAGCCAGTTTCTGACTATTATAAAGGCTAATAATGCTCAGTTGTACTGACTAGTTTCAATGGTGATCTGAGTATTTCAAATGCTTAATTTTTTTACCGCGGCAAGGACAGTTTGTTATCGCCCTATAGGTTCTCTTTCGATCATTCCATACAAAATAATATTGCTTACATCGGATGGGCTGACTACTTACTGAGCTTTTTCTATCGGCCTATTATGCTGATTATAAATCTTCGCTTATACGATAATTAGTTTGAAATTCGGTAAACGAAGCTTAAATATAGTTTCGAGGTGAGGATTATCTGGCATAACGATAGCTAGGGAGTAGGTACTTAAGAAATATTGTTTGTATTTTAGTTTATGTAAAAGAGATAAGCAAGAAAAAATTCAGAAACAAAATGAATTACAGTTTGAAATACTTTATTATTCTTGACGAAATTGAAGGATATTTAAGTGTACAATTTTCTAAAATTTTATTCAATTATGTACTGTCTTAATGTTTTTGAGGCGATCATTTAATTCAAATAAATAGTGAAAAATTTCACACTCGAAATATTCGCTTTAATAATGTAATATTAGATTTAAAATTTTTGTCTAAATGATTTATTTTACGGAAGGTTTACGACGAAGATGTACTGAACTTAGATGCCTTTCGAGGCCACTCGTGCGGCTAAATGATTTGTGGCAAATGTCACATTCAAAGGGTTTAGTACGATTATGAATTGCCTGAACGTGTCGTGCGAGGGTACCTCTTTCTCCGAATGATTTTGGACAAATTTTACACTTAAAGGGTTTTTCCTGATTATGTACTGTACTTACGTGAATTTTAAATACTCTTGCGAATCCAAATGATTTGTGGCAAATGTCACATTCAAAGGGTTTGCTACCGGCATGTACTACATCTTTGTGAGTTTGGAGATAAGTTTTTATTTTAAATGATTTGAGACAAATGTCACACTCGAACCGCTCTCTACGATTATGTGCATAATTAATGTGATCTTTGAGAGCATCCTTGCGGCCAAATAATTTATGACAAATCTCACATTTGAAGGGTTTGTAACCAGTGTGTGCTGTCTTGGCGTGAGTTGCGAAACGTCGCTGAGACCAAAATGACTCGTGACATATGTCACATTCAAAGGATTTTTTACCATCGTGTATTGACATTATGTGATCTTTGAGGCGATTTTTGTATGCAAATGATTTGGGACATAACTCGCATTCGAAGGGTTTTACAAGATCATGTACCACGTTTACGTGCCGTTTGAGATGATCTTTTTGTGCAAATGATTTGTGACAAATCTCACATTCGAAGGGTTTGTTACGATCGTGTACTTGCTTTCCGTGTCTACGGAGATCACCTTTTTGTCCAAACCATTTTTTACAAATTTCACATTGGAAGGGTTTGCTGCGATCGTGTACTGTCTTTACGTGCCTATTGAGGTCCCTTTTGAATCCAAAGAATTTGTGACAAATGTCACATTCAAAGGTTTTTTTGCGATCGTGTACTAAATATACATGAGCTTTGAGGTTACCTTTTAGTCCAAATGATTTGTGGCAAATCTTACATTCAAAAGGTTTAATGCTCTTATTTCCTGTACTGATATTTGGTTCCAGACTTACTTCTTCTTTATGAGTTTTTCGATACAAATTATTCTGACGTGATAATTTAGTTCGAGTCTTTTTTTCAAGTATTTTCATCTTCTTGAATTTGTCAAGCTTCAATTGGTATTTTTCTTCAAATTGACAATTATTATCGTAATCAAATCCTTTTTTTATTATAATTACTAAATCTTTATCGATCAAAGAATTAGTCTGAATTTCGTTTTCTATGTTCGTAATAGATTGACTACTTTCATTCTCCGTTTTGCAGATGGTTGTTGGTACGTTCTTCAGCTTTGGCTTAACGCCTTTGCACTCAAATTCTATAAATATTTTTTCATGATCCTCGTCTGTTTGATTTTGATTTTCTATTTTTACAACAGATTGACGACTTTGAGGCTCCGTTTTGCAGATGGTTGTTGATAAATCCTTCAGCTCTGGCTTAACACCTTTGCACTCAAATTCTATGAGTATTTTGTCACCTGACTTATCCTGTTGTGTCACAGTAGTATCTTTCGCGTCTTTTGCCTGAGTTTCCACATTTTTAACTGTGCAAGAGTCCACCGAGTCAAAATTGTGTTCGTCGCCTGCTTCGGGCCATTCGTCGTTCGGCTCTTCCTTCACCCTAAAAATTAAACAAGTTGGATAAAAAAATTACTTCAAAAAATATGATGACACGAACAAAAAAATTAATACCTGAATGTGTCCTCTTTGCTTTCCATCACTCACTTTGTAATATGTATTCACTGACACTAATATGAATTTTCACGATATATACTGAGAAAATACTTGAGGTTAAACGTCGTCACTCGCAATCAACAGTTTTGACGAATTTAGTATGATCACCAGAAAACGTATGTCCACGATAGCGACTGAACGCACACTAGTCGTATGTCAACGAGATCATCCATCGATTTTCATAGCTCCTCGTGGCGATACTTTCACTTTTCCCACCACCGTCGACTGTCTAGCGTCCATACACAGCAATTGTATTCTGTTATGTACGTTTTGGACGTACGAGAACGTTTGAGGTATCGGATTACACGCTGATCGAGCCATGTGGATAAACCACTCACGTATGTACATTGTACAGTGGTCCTAGTACTATATTCACGGCTCCTCGAACGGTAGTCATTGAAATCGTAACCGCTACCAGCTAATCGCCGCGTTAGTGCACAGAGCCGTAGCTAGGCTAACCAATAGCTTTTTTTTATGAAACAAACGAATCTCCTGCATCGCACTATAATGATTTTTCATTTTTTTTTTTTTTTTTCATGAAAAAATTTATTGCTAACAAACCCAAACATGTATTGACACACCGGGTCCGCAAACACACGGACACACATAAATACGTACATTTGTTGGGAATTCAATGTAGTTCAAAATTATGTGAAGCCAAAAAAAGTCGTGCGCTAATGCAGAAACATTTTTTCGACATCAAGGGCTGATGCCCTTGCGAATACAGTCTTGACTTTTCAAAAACCTCAATTTTCAATCAGATCATACATTATTGAAAAGAATGAATATTATCAGATCAGATATAATTTCAAACTCATACAATTATTTTTACTTTGTCACTTGCAGATTTATTGATAAAGGTACTCGCCATCTAGAGGTCGTTGCTTAAAGTATCAACGTATTTAAAGTGGATCAAAACTGCTCTAATTTTTTCAAAACAATTAAATGGTCATTTTTAGATTATTTAAAATGCGCTTAACATCTGTAACATAATTTTAATTGAAAAATTAAAATTTGGCTAAAATTAAGCCAATTGGTGGCTATTGATATTGGCCATTTCTACCAGAAGGGATGAAAATTAATAGTTTGATATTGCTTTGAAATCTGTGGTGGAACAATGATAATTATAAAAATAATATACCAACGTGATTGTAAGATATAAAGAACAACTCAATATGAACGTTTCTTGTCTTATTTCAGTTTTCTTCACGACGTAACGGAACGAAATAAGCTCGTAAGGCTCGCGGGCGATGGCTCCGTTACGTATGGCATGAGGTTTACCACGACCCTCGCCTGCATGATGGATCTGCATTACTACCCGCTCGACTCGCAGAATTGCACCGTCGAGATCGAAAGCTGTAAGTTTGCTCTCTGCCAGTGTGATTGTTATAACAATGACTCATGCAATCATAACTGCGATACTTGCGCGTCTCAGAGCTTTACCCAATCTTTGTTTAGATTATGTGCAATTATTCGAATGCTATGTACTCGCAAAGTGTTCTTTGTCGATAAAGCTACATTCGAGAAGATACGTCTCGTTACGTAATCTATTAGCAATCCAGTAGAAGAAAAAAAAATTCTGTCTTAGCGGAGATAAAGCTCTCGACGAGCGCGGAACATGTGTCTCTCGCATCGTGCGCGCGTGTGTCATATACGTGTAAAATCGTCTTTGTGCACAAGAGTCGAGATAGATGTTGGGTATTATATTTGGAAGGCCAAGCGCGAGTATAGCGAAGCAGAAAGGAGAGAGAGAGAGAGAGAGTAATCCATTCGTATTTCCATTATAATATATGTGTCGAGACTCGAAGGATATAGAACATAGATCCACGGAGTCGTGATAGATCGGATTACCTTCTTGGGGCACAAGCGAAGCTCCGCGCCTTGAATTCGCCCGTTAACCAGACCAATGTAACCATTATAATAATATTAGATCCTCGACTTTGCCGCTACTCTTGCGCGCACCGAGTAATAACGTTTGGGTACCGTAATATCCGCTCTTAATCTTCGGAGGAAGAGAGGAAAAAAATTTCATTTGTTTATAAATTCGAGGGACGTGCCGTATAAGGAAGTTTTTATTTTTTCGTTTTTGTATTCGTTTTTTTTTATACGAGTGTGGGTGCGGATACAACTCGAGGAACTTACAAATGGCCCCGTAATAGCCTCTTGGCTCGCGCACAACGGCACAAAGCTCAAGAAAGCGAGAGGGAGTGAAGAGAAGCTTGTAAATAAAAGCTCCGCCGAGTACTCGCGCGACAGGAAACAAAACATTTAGCTCGAGGAAGGGGTAAAAAAAAGTGAAAGCACTCGCTTACACACTTGCGTATCTATCGTAGCGTCATTGTTTACTTTCGACGGAGAAAAAAACAATGAAAAATCGTCGCGTACTTTTACAGGAGAGATTTTTCTCGACAATCGTTTTACACTCAATGCAATAATTCGCAGACGGCTACACGGTCCTCGACGTGGTGATGGCCTGGAAGGAGACACCGGTACGGGGCGTCAACGAGGCCGAATTGCCGCAATTCACGATAATCGGCTACGAGACGAACGATAGGAAGGAGAAGCTCGCCACCGGCATCTATCAGAGGCTGTCGCTGAGCTTCAAGCTGCAGCGCAACATCGGCTACTTTGTCTTCCAGACCTACCTGCCGAGCATACTCATCGTCATGCTGAGCTGGGTCAGCTTCTGGATCAATCACGAGGCCACCAGTGCTCGGGTCGCGCTCGGTCAGTCCATCGTTATTATTATTCCTTACTATATTTACTTTAGGCGTTACTTTTGTTTTGCCTTTATTCAATGGACACCATTCAGACTTTATACGACGATACGGAAAATGTCGTATGTTTACAGTTCCGACGCGTTTAGAGTACCATTTATAACGACACTTTTCGTGTGCCGCGATGCAAGCAAAGAATTAATAAGAATAACGCTGCCGAAGTTTGAAACGAAACTTTATTTATAATTCGCAAGTTCGACTTGGGTGCGGCATCAAGAATGGCACAATAATTTCATTGAACGGGACATTTTAATGTTTTTCTTCATCTGCGAACAATAACACGTAAGCCTGATTAAATCTTCGCGGCGGCAAAGTTTGCGCGAGTTTTATACTTCGACCAACTGTGTACCAGCATTTATAAATGGGTGGATGGCAAAAGCAATTCGTGTAAAAGTCCTTTAATGCCTCGTTCCCGAGTAAAATTGTCGAAAAAAGAAAGAGAGAAAAAAATTAATATTCTTAGAGACGAGCGAGTATGTTGATTGATTCGTTCGTTTTACAAGCTGCGCACGGAAGCGCTTAATGAAATTTTATTGCTCAATTAAACGATTGCCCATCTCGTATATGTAGAAGCTGGAATTTGTAACGTTCGATTAAATCGATCGTCGGTGCACTCTCGCGAGCAGCGATAACTCACGCGTCTCTTTTGTAAATTTTTAAAGCATCGCTCGTCGTTGTGTGTCACGGTGAAAATCACTCGACGCTCTCGTGGTACTTTACGCCTCGCAGAGAGAGAGAGAGAGAGAGAGAGAAAGAGGCATTATTTACTAAGTTGATACAAGAAAATCCATCAAAGTGTAGCTGGTGCGCGTAAAAGGCATCGATCTATTTCGAGGAGACGCGCGTGAGCAAAAACGGGCGTGTAATATGTTTGGTTGCCTTTTTACCCTTCTTTTTTTTTTTTTTTTTTGTTCACATACAGGCATAACGACGGTGCTGACGATGACGACAATCTCGACCGGGGTGCGAAGCTCTCTGCCACGAATAAGCTACGTGAAAGCCATCGATATCTACCTGGTGATGTGCTTCGTCTTTGTGTTCGCCGCGCTGCTCGAGTACGCGGCTGTTAATTACACCTACTGGGGCGCCCGCGCCAAAAAGAAGAGCAAGAAAAAAGAGACCGAAGAGAAAAAAACCATTTGCTCGTCAAAGACTGGTACGTGCAGCATAAGTTATATACTTGTATATCTGCATGACGCACGGCTTGGAGCACCGACGACGCGCGACACATTATACACAAGCATGGCGACTATATGTATGTGACGGTTTGTGTGTGTGTAAGCGACGAACTGCTAAAGAGCCCGTGATTGAGAGAGAGAGAGAGAGAGAGAGAGAGAGACCCGAGTACCATGGCTCATAGACTGCCGCAAAAAAGAGCGCGCGAGTAAGTAGCAAAGAGTATAAGAGAGACGAGAGGCAACGCGGAAAAAAGACACGCTTCTCTGGGCTAATTGCGCACGCCGAGACGATTGCTGATGCCGCCACTTCCCGCATGAGCAGCTCATATGCATATATCTACGTCTTTCTCCCTCACCTACTCCCAAGGGATATTTTTTTTTCGAACCTGCAAGCCGCAAATTTTCATAGCCTAGACGAAAAAAATATCCAACTATTTTTACCTTTCGAGGATGCCCAGAGGGACTGGCGTTGCCGCTCCGTCTCCAACGACTCCGCTGCTGCACGCGAGACGCAGTTACTTCTTATTGTAAAACTTGTGTAAAGTCGAGACTCCTGAACTGTGCGAGTAGTCTCATTTTCGTAGCAAAAAAATTAACGTTAAATTTTCTGTCTCGCGTGCTAAAAAATTATTCCGACCGATGTGTAATATTTTGATTCGGAAGAGTGAATTTTTACTCGAGACTTCGTCTCCTCCTTTTCCTCTCTTTATTTTTTCTCTATCTTTTTTAAAAGAAAATTCAATTTCGTATAGTTTTTTTTTCTAAATGAGTTGACCGGAGAACAACGAATTTACGAACACACGGAAAATTCTCAATTCGTTTAGCCATTAATTAAAGCAATTGAACCAATAAAAAATCTCGATACAATACAGTATATGTACTGATACAGTGTCTTTGGTTAGGCCCGCGATACGCACGACTAGAGTAATACATACTCGAATCGAATTAGCCGCACGAAGCTTTCAGTCGTCTCGAGCGTACAGCCGAAAGCATAGAACGCTCGAAAGCACTGCAGCAGCCCCGATATCTAACTTCATTATCTCGATCCTGAGCCCGAAACTGCAGCACAAGCTCGATTGTGTATATACGTACAAGTTGCGTCAAGTTATCGTTACGTTGTTATCGTTTTGTCGTCGTTGTGATTCGATCCGCAGGAAGCAAGGCCGGCTCGCCGTTCCCCGGCTCGACAGACGCCGACATAATCGAGCTGCAGGATCTGCGCGTGTCGCCGCTGCCAAGCATCAGGAGTCGCTCGGGCCTGGCGACGTCGAGCAGCGCTGCCGGCACCCCGGGTAGCAGCAGCATGGCCGGCGGTGGTCTGCCGCCCCGCGACCAGATCGAGGCCCACAAGTTCCCGCCGAGTTTTCGCATCTCCAGGCCGCACCACGGCTACCCGACGACGCATCATCACCATCCGCACATGAAGAGCCCGGCAGGCCTGAGATACCGCGGCGCCGCGCGACAGCCCAAACCAAAGGTCACTCGTAATACCTTTTTTTTTCCTTTACATTGGACTTATTTTAATAATTGCGCAGGTGTTGCACGCGATACGTCGAGGGGCGTCCGTCTTGAAGGCCTCGATGCCGAAAATCAAGGACGTCAACGTGATCGACAAGTACTCCCGAGTCATCTTTCCCGTGAGCTTTATGCTCTTCAACGCCGGCTACTGGATCTTCTACGTTTGCGAGTGAAACTTTATTATTTCACTTACGGAACGAACCAAGTACAATTATAAACCAGTGCTCGTCTCAGTGCGACGTACGACCATTATTAAAACTTTATATGGCAAGTGCGTGTGTGCATCTCAGAGAAGTATGTTTAAAAAATAATACAAAAAAAAACTTCGTTATACTTGTTGAACAGAATAATTAGACGAACGCGCGACTTGGTGTGTGATTGTGATATCGACGAAAAAAAAATAAACAACACGACCAAGACTCTCGAAAAGCAAAAAGAAGAAATCGACGTCATCGCGGAGCGTACAGCACGTAACTCGTATTATCATAATCGACGTCGATACGCGTTGCAAGAAACGAGTGTGTGTATCTGTGTATGCGTTTGCGTGAGAAAAAATTTATTACGCTGCTGCGGTCATCCGAATATTATCGGGTGCGCCGTCGCGAGAGAGCCTCGACGTAAGAAAATTGTATAAATTCTGATGGTGTGTGTGTGTGTGTGTGTGTGTCGTCGAACTCGTCGCGTACATAAATCACTTGCTTGATAAAAAATTCGGTACACGCACTTATACGATAGCGGCAATATTTCGTTGTGTTTTTTTTTTGTAGTATTCGATTTGATGTGTAGTTCATTGGTCCTTCCTACATTGGGTCTGAGTGCAGTTTCTTTTTAACTTTAGAGGAGTTTGGCGTATAAGCTATTCTCAGAGGCCAGTTCAAAGTAACGCTGTCTTTAATTTAGTAAATGGTACGAACGCCAACGTTTTCAATGATTTAATGCTCCATGAAATTGCTCGTGACAAATTGCTTCAGAAATTCCTTGTGGAAAGTGAAAATATGTAGTTGCAATGTATTTAAGGTGTCAAAAACTTAAAAAAAAAAGCCCTTTTTTATTTTTCAAGTGAAGCTTACCACTTGTGATACATATAAATACCTTTATTCCTTGGAGAATTGAGGGTTTATTTATACCTAAATAGGAGTTTTTAAAATTTTAAATTTTTCACTGAGATGCAACTCTTTTCTAGCTTTACTCGTGTTAGTTTCGTACTAACTTTTTTCTTTTTTTGTGTCTTCTGGCGCATTAAGTTTTTCAAAAATGTTTAAGTGTATTGTAACGTTCAAAGAAAATTAACTTATCTACGGTGTCGAAGATGTTTACACTTTTTCGTGAAGAAATTCAAAAAAGAAATGAGTAATTGTTTTCAAAACCTTGTTCTTACTTATATCATTACTTTCACGTTGCTTCTTGCAGATTTACAAATAACGGTACTCGCCATCTAGTGGTGGTGACTAGCTTTAATTGCGATTGAATTTTCATAATTTTTTGCACAACCAACATAGCTGAAGAATTCATATAAAAGTACTTTAAATAAAATTCAGTTTCGTTTTCTATAATTTTCATGTCTAATTTAACATTAAAGCTGCATTAAGTTAAAGAATTTTTTCAACACTGTATCATTATGGAATTATATTATAGAATTTGAAAAATTTCATGAGCAGCGGAACAACGAGTAAAAATGTAATAAGAATCGAGTTTAAGGCATATTATAAGCCCTTAAAGTTTCATCTAGCATTCTATACCGCGTGGGGGCTCGAACCGAGATAAGATAAATTCAACAGTAAACAGATTACGCAAACGCTTTTAAAGACGTATTATTATTTCAACCAGTTGTATAATGTGTGTCAAGATTATTGAAAAATTTCGAGGATCTAATACGAGAAGCTGAAAAAATTATTACGAGTGATAATGAGAAAAATGCAAAAAATTCTACTATCGAAAGAAACAGCACTTTTTTTATCATATCCTGTACATATAAGACAATGCAAAAGCTGCCAAATGACGAAGAGAGGTTCGCATCGTGTGCGACACATTTATGCAATGTTAATAATTTCATAAATGTCACCGAAAAATACTATATCAGTATAACAAAAACAAATAGCGATAATAATAAGTACTTTCACTTTTAGAAGGAAAAAATTATGGTTTTTTACTTGTAACTAATTACGATCAATTTCAATGAAAATGAAAGAAAGTCAAATTCGAGACCATTTTTAATAATACTCGTCGAGCTAAGAGGTAATCGAAAATGATAAAGCTTCAAGGAGAGTTTGATAGAAAACAAAAAAAAGTTATCAAGGTGAAGGAAAATCGAGTAGAGCCACGCGCGCGTTTCAGCGCACGACGCAACGTGTACGATGCAAGTATATACAGACGCAAAAACTAACGAGGATGCACACGGTGGACAATTAAACGAGATGCTTCCGAAATGAGACGTCGCATAACGAATTATCGCGTCAATTCAAAAGATGCAATAAACTACAAAGATAGTGAATTGCGCGAAAAAACAATTGGATCTTCGTTACGAATGGGTGAAAAAAAAGTAATAATAATAACAATGAATAAAAAACAGAAACAATTTAGAAAATAGATAGCATTAACGATTAATAAATGACGAGGAAGATACGATGTAGTGTGTGTGTGTGTGTGTGTGTGTGTGTGTGAGACGAGTGACAATATATGTTCCTAATCGGGGCCTAGTGACGCATATTATCATACGTATATATATAATATTATATACGAGGCGAAAGAAGGTGGCCCTTACGCAGCCTGAATGTATAGATATGACACGCGCCACTTATACGATAAATAAAAAGTAAACTGCGCGATATTTGCCTCGTGCATATACAATACAAACGACGACAGCAACTGTTCTCCGTTATAAATAGACGAATTAAAATGCAGCTATTAATCCATATTTATATGTATGTGCATTAGATTATATATGAATATGTTTATAAGTATAATAATGATAGTGTTAAGATTATAATATTGTATAGATCGACATCGCACGCGTCCGGTACACGTCGTTGTCCCAATGCAATATGTAAGATTATACGTTATCGGGTCGATATCGAAATACTCAGGGCTAATGCTCGCGCGACAATATCTCGTCCCTGGCGACGCATGTGTCAATGACGCTCGAGCGAACATCGATTTATTCGGTACGACGATGTGTGCGTCGCTGGATATCCACGCGTGTCCAGCGCATCGCACACGTTATTATCCCAAAAAATCTTCCGGTATTATACGCGTGTATGTAAGGTGCAATTGAAATTTGTCAAAAATCGGCATAGAAACGAGCGGCGGCACGCCCGTCTCGATTAAAGTTCCCGATATCTCCAGCCAACTCCAAGCTATAATATCTGCTTATTGATGAGGGTCGCGCGCTTCTCTCTCTCTCTCTCTCTCTCTCTCTTTCTCTCAAGAGCGAGGGAATTCGCACAAAAATATCATCGATATACAATTGTACAATTGCGCGCGACGTGTGTAATACGTTGAAGCTGATCCATCATCGTCGCGGCATCGGCAGATGTTCATTGCACTCTAGTTGATTGGAATTTTCGCGAACAATTACAATCGTGTGTGTGAAGTATATCATCGCTTATTGTACATGCAATTCGTTGGCCGAACGGTTCGTCGGGAGAGATTAGATACACGTAAACAAAGCGATGCACAAAAAATTGCATGATCAATCGGTCGAAAGATGATATACACGATATACGTATGTACGCTTTCTGTATTATATGTAGTAACCCGCCCGAGGCGTGTCGGCACTTAACATCTTCCGAGGAGATGAAACTATTTTACTGGCATTTGATGATTTCTTGGCATTCCGATTCGCGCGTTTTCTCTCTTTCTCTCTCTGTGTTACGCACAAGCAGCGCAAAATCTCGCATTTTGATTGATTATGCCCCGCGCGCTATCGAGTATAGTTGCAGAATTTTCCAAGACGTTTTCCAAGAACAAATTGTTACGAGAGCCGTCACCACAGTTCGCGTTCGATAATCCAATTTATTTATTTATTTAAGCCCGATGAGATTATCCGATGCGCGCGCGCGAGTTCATATTATTTCAAAAAGTAAAAGTGAGACCCGTTCAATAATATATAATCGGGTAAAGTATATCGCTTGAAATACTTTGGCAAAGTCTTCAGAGAAATTGCGATTTCACAGCAATATCTAATGATAACCTCGTTAGATATCGTAGTTAAAGTTTTTTCTCCGCCTTTTTTTTCGTATATACGCGCTGTACACTTTCTCATGCTCTAATTATTTGACCATTTGCCACCATGCTCGCGTATCGGTGCACGCGTAACAAGTTTCAATGTAACGATATTAACGTAGATTTTATTATTTAATGAAAGACGAACTCCTCGAATCGAAGCTGAGCTTTGTACGATTCAACTTTTTTACTCGGTTCGTTCTTTCGTTGCGTCGCGAGCTGTATCGAAAAGAGCAACCTGTTAAAGCGAAAACTCATGAATCGTTTACTTCTTTTTCTAGTCACGTTGGTTATATTGTAAAATAATAAAAAAAAATGAGATCGAATTTATCGATAATAAATCAAAAAGATAATTACCGAGTAGACCAATCGACGTCCCTCATTATAGGAGTTAACATTTCAAGCCCATATTTGCAATTATAGAATGTAAACAGTAAAGATTTATGAATGTTGAAAGTGTGCACTCGAGAGAGTGCACGAAAATTATACCCCATTCGTATTAACAAAGAAAAAATAAATGAGTAATATATTATTATATGCGCGAATTTAGAGAAAGAGATTAAAAAATTACAATACTTAACCTCTTGACGCCTGTCACGCATCATCACGTGCATGAATTGATAACGAATAATTGTCAAAAGTACGTACAAAAACTTAATTATTGTATATCTTCCTAGGTTCAACGATTATTGTGTATCTTTGTAGCGATCCATGATATATGCATAAAAAAATTGTATAAGAATGTCATGATTTATTTTTATTGTGATAATTAATTGAACTCATAAACACTGCGACTTGTATAATATAGAGTTTTAAGGTTCTTATTACAATTGAAAAACGCATTGAGAGGTTAAAAATAAATACATGCAAAAAATTATGAAAATTTCCTGTACATCATCATCTTATTTGACTCGACTATACATTATTTTGCATGCTCTTTATAGCCAGCGAAGCGAAGCATCAATTCGATTGTACAAAAGTTGACATATTTACGCGCGCGCGCGAGCAGAGAGAGGGTTACTTACTGCGTAAATCAACGCTCCGGCAACAATAGGATATATAATCGTACAGTATACACACAAAATGTGCACAGCGTTGGACATTATCGAGTCAGTGATTAGCTCGATGAATGATGATTTCGTTGTTTCCTGCTATTCCACTGCGGCTGCTGCTGCACTTCTTTGGTATGTGCATAATATAGGCACGATAAAAGTAATGCGCTACTTGCATAAATACATACATTCGTATTACGCTGTACAGCATTATATCCAGAGTGCACAGAGTAAATAGAAAAACAAATAAAATATAATAGTAGAAAATAGATATTCGCTGCATACAATTGTTTTGATGTATCACGCAGTTTCAGGTTTTTTTTCTATCTTTCTAACAGAGGAAATGGCGATTCGGTTCATTTGAAATAAATAGAGCGAGCTCTTCGTTATTCCCGAATCGTAATAGCTGCTTCTTTGACTTAGTTTTAAGCAGTGATAAAAATCTCCTCGATATCGCAGCTCGTTTTACGCAATACGCGCATCCCTTATCGACGACGTTCTTTAAAATCGTCCAATCGAATTGCGTCAAACTTTTCACGACCATCGCCTTTACATCGTCGATGAGACGATCGTGTGCTTACGAAGCTAGGCGACATTTTTCTCGCGGAAACCGCAAGAAAATTAAATTATCGTAATGACATTTGCAATGCAAAATAGTCGGTTTATCTTACAATAATTCATTATATCATACCATACGTACGCAAACGCGACGATCGGACGAAGGCTACCCCGAGCCATTTATCATCTTAGGCTAGTACAAAAAATTTATCGCGACACTTGCTGAAAATCTCGAAAGGACTCGTTGCCATACCGGTTGCAGTTTTGAATCTGTGAATCGAAAGAGAGGGAGAAAAAAACCTATTATTTAGTGTGATCGCCACGAGCAGGTTGAATTATGTATAATTGCTGCTGAAGACGTGTTGCGTTTCGAGCTGTAATAAAATAACAGCGCGTGCGGCATCGATAAAAAAGTAAATATATACAACGCGCGTCACAATACAGCTCGAAACGAGGGAGAACAATGCAACACCGCAATAATATAATGTTGCACTCGACGTTTTTTGTCCTTACGGATGATTGAACGAGATGACGTTATAGAGCGAGAGAGCGACGTATCAATAAAAGCTTCGACGAAAGAAAATATCAGTGTAGGCTCTTTGCATGTAACGCGAGCTCTAACTACGCACTTGCGCGAGCTTATTCCGAATGACGGATGATTCGAACGACCATTGGAACGCAGGCGTTTTGAAGACGTTTTTACGAATTTCACGATAGTTCGAGTGAATTAATGCAGAATAATATTCGCTGATTGAAATTTGCTTCGGCGGATTTTTCATTGCACGCTTCGCTTTTTCTGCTTTAATGCTTCAACAAATTTCTTCGTTCGAACATATATAGCGGTACTTATGTAAATTTACTTTTCCTTTTACCAAGGACAGAGAATAATGAACTTACTACATCAATTATAAAACTATTCTGTTGCCTGTCTCTGAGTAAGTGCACAATCTAGCAACTTCTCTCTCCGGACAGTCACGGAAGTAATGAGCTTACTGCTTGAAATTAATTATTTTTTCCTTACAGAAATTACTTTTTTATTTTTTATTCGTGAAAATTAAAATTAAAGTCATTGTACGAGAACCAATTAACGTGTGCTTTACGAATAAAAATAAATCTGCATCGGTGCATGATGTCCAATAACACAATCGATAAGAACTTTCGAAAAGATAAGGCTGATTAGCAAGATCGAAATCAAAGTATCGAGTCATTGAAACCGTACTAGATACGAACTTTCGGATCTCGAAAAAAAATGCAAAATTCCAAATTCGGTTGAGACATTCAAGATCGATCGAAAGTATAAAATATCGCAGCGCCTTAGCTGTTGGTCAGCTCGACGCACAGATTTTTTTTCTACGAGTATTATCCAATCGTGCAAAAATTAAGAAATGCCCGAGTAGTCTCTCGGTCGCTTTTATGTAATGACAAACATCCGCGCAGAGACCGCTTCGTATATACGCTTCTCCTTTCCTGCGCCGCGAAGCCAATGAGTGCGGCTGCTATTATTGAAAAAAGAGCGCGCGCATCGCATTTGCGAAACTCCGAGGCAAAAAGCAAAAGTTAACGGTCGAAATTTTGAAACATACAAATGTATATAGCAGTTGCAGCACGCGCAGATATATGAAGCGGAAAATTTCACAGCGGCGCGTGAAAATTCTGAGGCTGCTTGAACGCGAGTATGGATACTAATTCGAGGAGAGTCCGCTAAAACGAGTTTATGGATAACGCGTGAAAGTCGATGTGCGTGCATTACATCCCGCGCGAGCTCCTAATGGCCGATATTTTTTAATTCGACTTTTCCCTGGATTAGCTGAGAGGTCCCCCCTAGATGACGATGACGACGACGGATGCGAAATATCTAGACTACGCGGACGTGTAAGAGAGTTCATTCATGCATGCTGGCGTGTGTGATGCAGCTGCCGATCGCGACTGCAGCGAGAGAACAAACAGGTATAGCGGTAAATCTGCTTTCTCGAGTGTGCGCGAGGCAAGAGAAATCAACGATCGGCGAATGGTGAAAATTACGACGCGATACTCGCTTTGATAGAACGTGTCCCCGTCATCTATATAAATCAGGCTGTCCCTTATTCATGCTACCTCGCATACAACCTCGCTCCAGTTTTTTAAAAAATGTTTGTTGTAGAAGATGGAAAATCGGATGGATTAAAAAGGTTTAATCACAATATTACTATCTGAATCTGTATTTTGCATCTAAATAATAAAGGATAATTTACAATACATGCATGCATATTAAAAAGCAAGTGTTATGGGAAAAAGAAACCATTAAATTCAGTCACTGTCGACGAGCTTCAAACTTAACCATTTCATGTCATAATTATCTATTCCGAAGGTGAAAAGGTAATGTGTTTTACTCACATGTTGCGTTAATTTTTATTATTTATTTATTGCAGGAAAGATTGCACTCGATAATAATATTATGGCCTCTATACCCCCAAATATAAATCCTATTACCGGACATAACAAATGGGAACTTGTGCGGAAAAACTCTTGCACTTGAGGTCAATGGATATCATTTGAAACAATGTCTATAATTGTGGAACACTTTTTGATAAATATGGTTATAACACATGCTTTTTATCATTTTATGGTCGAAACAAACTTTGAAAACTACTAGCACAAGGTTCCATGAGATTCGGGAAATAAGAGACCCTTTAGTATGTGTAATATCTGCATAGCATCGTGCGTTGAGAAAGGAAACGCGCGGAAAAAGAGTGACGTGAAAAAATTACGACGATCTCGTCTTTATCCCTCCTCTAGCGGGCGCATATAATTGCGCGGCCGGAATTCGTCCGAAAACCACGTTTTTTGCTACTTAATTGTTCATAACTTTTGAACGGTTTGAATCTCCAACTTGAAATTTTACACAGACCTTCGATATTAAATTACCTATCGATTGAAACATCTACGAATAAAATCGAATGGGGCATACTTGCCGAAAAATTGAGTTAACTTTGAAGTCATTTTTCTCGATGAAAATTAACTTTTTTTGAAAAACTGATACCACCATTGGAAAGAATAGACAAAAATCTATTGGAGTGCATATGCGCAATATTATTTCAGACCCAATTGCGCCAGGCACGCGGCGAGTTAGAAAAGTTGCGATACATTAAAAAATGCCCAGCGCAGGCGCACTGTCTGGTCGAGCGTGGAATACGTCATATTTGAAATGTTTCTACGTCCCTTCTAACTGAAATGGCAAGAGAAATAGTGAAGAAAAAAAACAATATTTTTTATTCGTTGTCAATAAAAATTGATAAATAAAAAAACCTAATGACAATTCTTATAACTTTAAATCGTTTGCAAACAACTTTCGAATGGCGTATCCAAAATGTCGATCCGACTTTTTGTGACTGAGCTACGAAATGTTGAAGTTTACTCATTTTTGGCTCAGGTATGGTAAAAGTAATTGACGGGCAGTGTAAATACAGCCACTTGATCAATTTCCAAGTAACTGTAATAGTATTAAACCCCTGCTGGAAAATTTCACTAACAAATGGATTTGACAGATAATTTCCTTAGCTTTCCGACGGTGATATCTGATTTTCCGGAATATTCAAATTTCACTGATAAAATCGCCATCAAACACTCAGAGCTAAATATCTAAAAACTGAACTTTTAGGTTTGTTTTTGATTTTTTATAGTAAACATAAAATTTATCGGAAAATTTGATTGCAATGCAAGGATAACGAGAAAATTTTTTATCGGAATGAAAAAATTTTAATTACTCTGATTTCCATTTTCTGTTTTCAAAGGGGTTTCGATAAATCTCGAGTACTCGCACATCCATAAGCGTAGTATAAATGTTATTGAAAATATTTCAGAGTATGAAAATAATCTTGCGATATGCTGCTTACGGAAAACGATGATAAACCGATTAATAAGACATGCTTTGTCGGAAGTGTTCAATTTTATTGTTTGATTATTATATAAATGCGACCATTGTGATTGGGCGAAAGTCATTATTTTAATGGAAATTCGCGACGTGTTTAGCTGTATGTATAACAATCTATGAAATAATTTCATTGAAATAATCTTTTTTTTCTTTAGTTTTTTTTCTTTAGTTTTAGAAATTTTAGTAAAAACAACTAAATATTTTGTTGGATGAAATAAAAAAGATTATTTCAATGAAATTATTTCATAGATTGTATTTAATTAAATTTTCATTGAATCAATGAATTTTTTTTCCCAGTGTACGATTGAGTTTATTGAGCTCGAACTAATGAATTGAACAATTTGAAATTTTTCACTTGGAAATATATTGTGCTAATGAATGAGAAAATCAAAACGTATTTCTGAAAATGATTTATTTGAATGATCGATGATGGAAAATATACAGTATCAAGTAACTGCAAATATGCTTATGCCATCACGAGCTTTGTAGAGTGTCCGCCAAACCAATG